ATCTCGTTTTTCTTCTGAATCCCTACTTATGATGTTGTCCAGGGTGGCTATATTTTGGCAGTAGATAAGWTTTCAAGTAAATTTATAGCAGATCTTGTACTTCTGGTAATGTGAAAAGGATGAATAGCAGGAAGTTCAATAGTGTTTCTTAATCTGATGCTTAATTGTTTCTTTTCACAAGAAAAATCCATAGTCTGGGGTTTAGCATCTAGTGTCATACAGSCAAAGTGTGTTAATGAGAAGCTGCCTGAATAGCAGTGTTTTGAAGAATGACCAGAATGAAGAAACTTTAAGAGCTCTGGTRTATTCTATGATTTCACAATAAAATAAAGAAGCGGGTTCAAARATAAACTAAGTAAGCAAGGAATTCTCCAGAGCTTGTAAAGTTTTCCATRTTATCTGGAATATCTGTGATACGATATCTAAATGAAAGAAAATGGCTTTAAAACTTAATTTTCAAACAGTATCAAATCATTTTCACATTTTTAATTAYGGTTTATGTAAAGCAAACTACTGAATAGAGCTGAAGCTGTTTCTAGAAAAAGTAGTTTACGTAATGTGGAAATATTACAGAGAAGCAAATATTTCAAACTTCATTCATATGACACTTGCAAACTAGGAATATTTTAAAGGGTTGTGCACTATCRATCTTGCTGTAGATGACTGTGGATGTTCTCTGAGAGAAATTGTTGGTTTTGTAGAACAATACCAAGTATAGTGAGTGAATTTTGAATTTTTAGGTATGTGACCAAGGAGGATGTTGCAGCAGCCTCCCTKAGCAAAGCCAACAGCAGCGGGGGCAGCGTTCGCCTCATTTCCAAAGAAAGCAGAGGATGTCTGAAGAATAAAGATGCATCTACTGAACAAACAGGTCATTCCCCAAAGTAAGTTTATTAATCTGCTACAGTGATTACAGTGTTACTCTATTTATACTCTATTCATATTCACGTTACTCTCTAGTAGGAAGTTGATGGGTAGCCATAGGAGTTGCTGYGACAAAACAGGAACTTTCTTTGACCTTTTACTTCCATTAAAGGAGGGGCTGAAACATTTTACATTTATTTGTATACACAGTTGAGAGAAACTACCTTTTCTGTATAAATAAGAGTAATATTTTGACCTGAACTATTGAATTGAAAAAAAAAGAATTATTATTCAGTTTACTGCATTTATACATGTATAACATTCAAAAGAAAAATCTCTCTCATTGTCAAATTTTGCTGAAATAGAACATAAATAGYATGTACTGTGCAGGATATTCTTTCTATTGGAATGAGTATTTTAAAAGAAAAAATTTGCAAATGCGTAATAACTACTGAAACGTATCAGTGAATTTGTGCTTTATGAATAGCTGTACTCTTTTCTCTGAACAGGTTGGTTGTAGAAAATGGAAAAGTTTCCTCAGTTCTTCATTCAGATCAGGCTGAAGAAGGTATTTCCTCCCTCCCCAAGGGCTATTTGCAGGCACTGGACAGCCAAGGGACCCCACTTTGTCTCAGCTGCCAGCAGCCAACGGTGCAGCGTGGCCAGGACTGCCTGGCCCCTGCTTGGGACACGCGGTTCTGCTCCCACACGTGCCAGGAGGACTTCTCCATTCGCTCCAGTCAGAGCTACCTGAGAACTAGAGTGTTTGAAATTGAACGTGGCATTTGCCAGTTTTGCAATCAGAATGCCCAGGAGCTTTATCTCAGCATCAGGGACGCGCCGAAGAGTCAACGGAAGAAACTGCTGGAGAGTTCTTGGATGTCTCACCTTCCCCTAGGGCAGGTAATAATATTGCCTTGCAAGGTGTAACAACCAATTGGTGTAATCCCATAGTAAATAGTGCTTCCTTTGTAAAATGCAAACCATTAGCTACCAAAGAAATCCAAAATGTTTAAAATAGAGGCTTCTACCCTGTACCCACAAAATAAGGAAAAGGAAAAACAAAGAAAATTGTGTCTTGGAAATGTGTTTTTCATCCTTAAGAGAGAGAAGTGTCAGAAGATTCCTCAGGAATAAAAATGGATAATAATWAAAAAGTATAATTACCAATATACAGACAGAACTGAAAAACACCMTATTAACTTAATGGATAAAATAAGGGATGTAATTAAAACATAGCTGCATAAGAAGCTAACCAGCYGTCAAGACAAACTGAACCACTCCTGTTTTCATTGGTATGGAACACAGTAGTAGGYATCTTGTCTTGATCCATTGTAATGTGCTTCAGTATGCTGCAATAATAATAATTTGCAACCAGAACTACAGCTTTTTGTTGTCCACTGGAAATAACAAAAAAGCAGCTAACTTATTTTCCTTCATAGCTACTTACCTATTTTTTTTTTTCTTCCTTGGTCTTGCTGTAGAGCATGTGTAGTTCAGATGGCTTATTTAACACTAYTACTATCATGTCCTTTGTTTCCTGCAGCTGAATGAAATTATAACAAACCCAACAGAAGGCCAGTTTTGGCAGGTGGATCATATCAAACCAGTTTATAGTGGAGGAGGACAGTGYTCCCTGGAAAACCTTCAGACTCTGTGCACAGTCTGCCACAAAGAGGTTGGTATGCTCACAAGTTTCTCCATTCCTGCCATGGAAATGTGCAATGGGCATCACAGCGGAACCTGGGCACTCGGGTACTGACAAGCACAGAAGAGCCTGGGGCAGAAGGGACCCCTGGCTCAGAGCAACAGGGATGGAAGGTCCTATTTTAAGGAGGATTGAGAACATGTCACATTAATGAACACATCTGCATTTTTGTATGTTGTCTACTACAAAATTAGATTGAAAAAGTTTAACCTGAGAGCTAATGTTTTCTCTACAAAATACTGTTGCCTAGTAACTTAATTACTGAACAGATGCATCTCTCTCGCTCTTGCAGAGAACTGCAAAACAAGCTAAAGAAAGAAGTCAGATGAAGAGGCGTTCTTTAGCTACGAAGTATGGCTGTGATATCACACAATTTTTTGTGAAGATGTAAAAATGCAAAATAATACRTCATAATTCAGTTTTCTTTATGCACAGATTTAAAATGTTTATCATGCTGTTGAAAGGGGAGAAAAAAGTGGAATTAAATCATTTATGTCATTCTGAAAGGACTGTGGAGGATTGCACAGCACTTGATCATGGTAATGTTTTCAGAGAGTTGTGATTTAAGAGCAAAATATCTGGMTATAACCTTAATACAATTACAGTGTATCACAGTTTTCATATTACAGCATAGTTAGACCATTAAGAATTGGAAGAAATTGTTCTGAAACTTCTGTTGATYTTACAATGTTCAAATACACTAGGGACAGTTGTGGGGTTTTATTTATTTTTCTTCAGATATTAAAATTACTATAGAAAATACAGTACCTGCCCCCTATTATGACAAATAGCATAGATRGTTATTTTAGAGGAGACAAACCCATCACACTTGCATAACGAACTAYTAGCAGTCTTACGTGTTTCAGAGCTGATTAGAATATTCCCCTTGGTGGCATTGGACATGGCTTCAGAAAATGTGGCTAGTTAGAGTTAACCATTATTGAAATCAGCTTTTCTTTAAAACAGCTTGTGATTATAATGTAATTCGCAGTACCTCATAATACCCATTGCTTGCTGTTTCACCAAAGGTAACTCACTTCTGTTGGAAATGCTGTAGTCACAGCAAAATTAGCTTGTTCTGCTTAAGAAAAATTCAGGGATGAACTGTTTAAATGTCTTTGGTTTACTTGAAATAAAATACTTTTTTTTGTAGTTTATGTAATAATATTTCAAAACATAGCAGGATTAAGCTGTAGAAAGCAGTGGATTACATTTTTTCATTCTCAGTGGAAATAAAAAAAAATAAAAACCAAGCTACTTAATTATACCACTAACCTTTGCAAAGTGTCATATTAGGACAATGTTTCACCTTGCAGCTTCCCTAGAAGGGAGAGAAACCCCTCCTGGAAAAGGGAGAGAGCTAAAACCAGGATGCATTCCCTAGGGGCAGTAGGAGTAGGTGCCCATTGACACATGGGCATCTCTGAAAGTGCTACAAGATTCTGCCAGTTTAAGTAAATTACAGGAAACTTTTGAGCTTCTTCTACTTTGCAAGAAAATGGTAAAAGTTTTAGATGCTGCTTTTGTACAGAGCAACCCAGCTAGTTTATGAATGCATCACGCCTACGGATGGCAAAAGCGGTAGACTCTCTCTGTCTGTGTTTGAATGTGTTACAAATATGACTAATTTAATGAATCATCCATTCCACAGTTTAAAAGACCAAGCAATGATAGCCTCAGTGCTAGATAATAAGGATTTGGGGTTTTTTAAATTTATACAGCCTTTAGAAAAAAATATCTTTTAATGCAAAATTTTGCATAAGTTAGGAGAACATTTGGAAAAGGGAGGAAAACAAGGGACTGGATAAAAAAGGTTCAGTTAAGGAAAATATTCATTAATTAGCTTAGTGTGACTTCTTTTTAAAAAGAAGCTACATCATTTAAAAACAAAAAAATTAGTAGGTGTTTGACTATGACTTCCCCAGGCTCTTCAAGGTCTTACCTCAGCTGCAATGTATAGAAAAACCTGTAGACCAAACTCCTATGACAAGATTATTTGTGAAAAACTTATTTATCCTGAAAATGTATTTCTACTTGATACAAATTGAGAGAAACACTGTACTCCATCCTTTCAGAGYATTACCTGGACCCCTACAGCATTAAAATTTAACCTTCTGTATTGAATAGTCATAGTCATAAGCAATKTTGTTCCTAGGTAAAACTGTGAGTATGACATTTGAAAGATAKTTTGAGGCACCCTTACCAGTAAACAGCAGTCTGACAGCAATTGTAAGTTTAGATTTATTTATTTTTACTGTAGTTACTCTTACATTTCAGTCTGCACTGTAACTCTGCTCTTTTGTTGATTTTGACCAAAGCACACCAAGACAAAGCAATGTTGGCACATACAAGTCATACTGTTTGCATGATAATCAGTGGGCTTAGCTTACAGTATGTCATGGAACTGTTTTATCATGTGTATAACAGATCAAAGACATAATACACATTTCAAAAAGTCTCTATAAATATCAGTAACTTAAAGTAAAACACTTTTGTACACATAATTTACATGAAGCTTTGGCCATTGCATGCAGGGGAGAAGATAAAGTATTCAAAATTGTCTGTGATCACTTAAGGCTATTTGCACATTAGGCTTAGTATTCAATTACAGCTGAGAAATACACTCCAGCATTTGGGAAGAGTGTCCAAGACATACAAGAAGATTTTGGACAACTGTTGCAGTAACAGAAGTTTAGCCTAAGCTAGAATTTACTGTATATTTTAAACAAGATCAAGATTTAAAAAAAAAAAAAGCTCAAATCATGTGATAGCAATAAATACAACTTATTTAATGTTTACATGTCAAGTAGACGTAACATTATAGAAAGATGATTAGGAACTACAGCAGCACATCTGCATAAATTTGAACATGAACTATTTGCATAAAGCCCATTAATGTCTGTCATTTAACAAGCTAATGCAAAAGAAGTTTTCCCCTCTGTTGAAAAGAAGAYTGAATTTTCTTCTCCTGAAGTCTGATAAAAAGCCCTTCTGAAGCTATTTTAAGCATCCCAGTTAAGGTTGATGCAGCCATCCTTCTTAAATACCAATTACACTCTATTCTTGGGAATATTATTCTCAATCGCCAATGACAACACTGTTTTCTCCTCACCACAAGCTGGATCAGTCTAAATTTAGACTTCCCTCCCTGAAGGAAAACAACTTCGTACTTGTGAAGACGCACCAGATAACAGCCAAGCTCCCTCAGAAGAAGGTCGTATCTGCCGAAAAGGCGCCCGCCAGGCGGAAGTCCTCTTTGGTGAGCACGCTGTACATGCGCTGTGGCAGCGCCTTGGAGTAAGGGGCCGGGCGCGGGACGGTCGTGCGTAAAATCACCTCACGGCCTGTGGGCGGCGGGAAGTCCGAAMCGGCTCCTGCGCTGGGGCGGCGCTCGTCTGCAGAGCCTGACCTCCTCACTTCTTCATCGAGCGGGGCCATTGCAGACGCCTTAAATAAAAGCACAGGTAGAAACTGCAGGATGAGCTGTTTCTTGACRTGAAGGAGCCAGAAAATGCATCATAAGGGCTGGAGCCAGGGGGAAAGACTAGAAATGGTGAACACATCAAAACGCTTTATGTATACACAGAGCAAGACACTAACGGGATGTCAAGAAATAAACTGCACAATCAAATGCAAGAGCCTTCAGCTGTGAAAGGTAAGCTCAGCCAAATTTAAGCTTCCTGTTTTAGACAGTGTGAAGCAAGGGGYTTGAGGAGACAAAATGCCCCCCTTCTCAAGCAGGCCTCTCTCTTTATGGCTACTTAACTGTCTAAGCCTCTTCTAAAATATTAATAATGCCCCTACTGCAGTCTTGACAAAGTCACTTGCCTTTTCAAGGTCAAGATGCTGCTTTGATAACTGCTTTTTCATAGCTGAAGGGCAGCCTGACAAGATCAGCATCACTGAGGAAACGGAACCCAGTGCCAGCTTCATCAACACTGGCACAGCAGCAACAGCTCTGTGAGCATGGGAAAAAAAGGGCTGCCTGCTCTTCAGTCAGCTCCCTAATAGTTCCCAATTATAAATATATACCAATAGCCTCAGGACAATCCTCACACATGCCCTTCTCTCAAGGCTTGTGGCTTTGTCACCTTTGTCATGGCACAGATCACCAGGGACAAATGCTGGCTGCTCCCTGAAGATCATTCCTAGGAAACTTAGAGGAAATACCCTCTGTTAGTTACCTAGTTCTCCCTGTCAAACTCCCTTYTGGACAAAGATCCAGAGGGTTTAGTGACTGTAATAGGTGTAGGTAATAGTTTTGGTGGTCTCTGGATTGTGGTTGCAAAAAACAAGGGGTTGCAATATAGAGAAAAAAAAAGGTAGGGCCACATATTCTAGCATTAGGCAATTCTAACATTGGCTTTAAGAAATGTTTAATTGTTTTATTTTTATGATTTCTGTTTCTTTTCATCATGTTAGGCTCTAAAAAAMGTCTAAAGAGAAACCTGTCCAGAAACATATTTTTATGCTTAATATGCCAGTAACAGTACAAACCAAATCAGGCTGTTTTATATCTACCTAAGGGTTGGATTCTATGCAGCTAGGGAAGATGAGTGGGAAATGAGGGACAAAATTGGTTACCTCATCAGAAGATTCAGTCAGCTTGAAAAGGGATGAGAAAAGAACCAGTGATGAAAGATAGAAACAAAGGCAGTCAGAGATGACTTACAAGAGGTTAGACAGAGGCTGTAGGTTTAAGAGACATCATGCATTGTAGTTCCAAGAACATGCATTTGCTGTCATAATCTTCCATGAGAATCTTTGAGAATATAACTATGCATTYTGTGCAATCTGTATTCAAGAGTCCAGGTTCAAAAGATAATGAACAACGATGCCATCCAGGTTTTTTAATCACAGTGCTTTCTGCTAAAATAATTCTTGGCAAACTAAACATAGGCAGGAGTGCTGCAGCTTCATGTGCCCTTAAGTTTTTTTTAGGTGACCAGCTACTAATGGGAGGTGTCTGTAACATGGCTTTACTAATTGCTCTTCCAAAAGGAATAAAACAATAGAACTTATGTACATTTTTATTAAAGATTACAATTAAAAACTTCTATTGGACACTGAAAGTATAAAACCATTAAAAATGAAAACGTGTGCACTCAGAAGAGTTACATGGTATTAAATTTTATGAAAAAGTCTGTAGTTAAGGCTGTTTTACGTGTTGAGATTTGCAACTAGATTTTCCCTAGAAATCCCCTAAAGACCCAACAAATGTTCTAAYTTTTCTGTTTCTCAGAATAACTGTGATCTGTTTTTTAGAATGTTCCTTTTTATGCTGAGTTGCAAAATATAAATCAGAAATTTAGAAATGAAACTCTTCCTAAACAGTTGACAGCAAAAGTGTCAAGTGTTCCAAGTATGAATCTCAGTCTAAAGCTACCCATCTATAATATTTCATATTAAAATGTGTTCTTCTACAATCAGCACACTCTCTTCATTCTTGCTCTACTGTTGTATATATTGTACACCTTGATGAGCTCAGAAGTTTTTTATCCTGTAAGAGCACTGCTGATGTCATCATTKGAAGGAAATCAAGTATTAAGGACACCTCTATGTACTAAGCTGATGGCAATATCGTGTGACCCTGGTCATCTACTGTCCTTTCTTCTTGCAAAGTTCTGTTACTGCCAAAATCATTTGGAACATTATGAAGAACTCAAGTACATGTTTGTAAAAAATACATGAATATTTGTATCAAAAGTAGACTGTTATCATGTAAGTCATTGCCTCACGCTGTTTGAATTAGTGAAAACAGCCAAGAACTCCAGCTTACCCTCTGAGCGTTCACAAACAGCTTATGGATGATGCTACCAGCAGGTCCTCTTCCTGCACCAACAACTGCCACTTCTGGCTGCTCCAGGAGAGAGTTGACAAATCTGATGGCACAAGTTATTAGAAAGCAAAGAATAAATCCACAAGTTCTCAGCTATACCCATTTTGTTCATCTAACAAAAAGGCAGTGTTTCCTAGGAAGAGTCCCAGAGATCGCCACATAACATTCTTCACACAATGCAGAACTGGCAGTTCTCAAGTCTAGAAATTTAAGGGAATAAAGTGACCTCTCCCATCTTCCCACAAAATTATCATCATTGCTTTTTCCTTCCTTTATTCACTTCACTCTAGCCTGAGGATCAAACTCCTCTCAGCCTTCAGTTGTTCCCTCCTTCCTTGTTGCTTGCTCTTTCATGCTAATGTTCACACTAACTGTTTTTTTCCGCATAGGTTATAACAAACATGAACAGAGGATCCTCCAGGATCCTCCCAGATAAGGGGAGGAAAGGCAGCTTGTACAACTGCTCRCACTGTAACCCTGGTGGCAGAGGCCAGACACCACCAGAAGCGAGTCAGCTTCTGAAAGGGCAACCATTTCTCTCAATTAACTATAAATACAGCCAAAGCTCCAAATTTCAGGTGCTGAAATCACGTATGATCATGTTTTTGAGCACAAAGTTACTGCATTGGTCAGACATCACTCCTCCAGAACCCAAGCATTAATAGTCAAAAAGSTATCTCATAGCAGCAAGAAGTTAACCTAGTTATTTATTTGACRTGTTGCTATTACCCTCTTTAAGCAATAGGTAAATAATCACACAACACGTAGAGATGCAGGGAAACACAACTAGTCACTTTTCATTTATRTGGTTTCTCTGCAAGAGATTTTAAATTAGTAAGGAGACTAGAAGATGAGAGAAATAAGAATTCTCTACATTTCCATATTAATGATGGAAAATATTCRATTCCTAGCCTTTCAATTTTAACTAGATGCTAACAAGGTTTAGGAAAAAAAAAAAGGAAAAGAAGAAATCAGAAATCTCCAGTAATATCTAGATAAAAATGGAATGAAAAGTCAATATAATTTTCAAAGACATAGTTAAATAGGCACAGATCACATTTCTAAGTCAGCTGGGAAGAGAGTAGCCAARTGTTCATATCAAATAAATATGATCCATTAGTATCTTTTCCAATGAAGAAAAGACCTGTATTACCATTATTTCCATCTGTCTTAAGTTTTGAGACTCCAAAGAAGAGGAAAAACRAGGAAAAATATCATTACCTTTGTAAATCTTCTCTCTGTTCTTCATTTTCACATTTGTCCACCCCAAATTTTGCTTTCAGAGATCGGGCCCTGGCAATGATTGCTTCCACACTCATGATCTGAGCAATGATTTCCTGTAGGGGTTTAAACAACAACAAAAGAGACATTGTATTTGCATTCCCATGAACACTGTACAAGTCTATCAAGTTTTTTAGCTTCAGCTAAAATTTCTTGGTAATTCTTACTTCCAATTTCTTGTCCTCCGGATTTGGGAACCGTAGAACTTTACTGGAATGGGATATTATCTGCTTAATAATCTTCTTAACTGAAGAGATATCATCTACTGTTTCTGTTAGGAAGAAAAGAAATTTAAAGACTTTAATCCCTGCTCATCATTGTTCATCCTAGAACATCCTAATGATTATTAAACATTATTTACCTTCCTCCTTTACCTTGAGTAGAGCAGCATGGATGATGCAAGGCAAAAGATGCCTTGCAAGGTCAGCTGGTTTCTGAACTGCAAGATAGTGAAGCACCTAGAATATCAGAAAATTTAACCACATTAATGCTCAAAACTGCTTCCCAAAGACAAGGTTAACTAGGAAAGATCAGTACCTATGTTGCAGAAGTAACAAGAATGGACCACTATTGCATGAGAGGACTTAATATACAGTTATTACATAAAATATCAGTGATTGCTGGCAGTCCCAAAAGCTTAAGCAAGGAACAAAAAATAATTTTACTAACAGTTTTTTTTTTTTTTTTTTTTTTTAAACTAACAGAGTGCTACTAACAGTTTCAATATGCATACACAGACCAAAATGTGTTATACCTATTCAAAACACCATCTAAATAATACATCTTGTAAAACTCACTCTTGGTGAGTTTTGTACAAGCATTACAGGGCAGGCTACCATCAGTCAAAGAGYTTTTTACCTTCTCTGCTTCTCTAGTGTCATCAAAGAGTCTCTTCTGCCTGCGGGCTGGGACAGGCTTTGCTGTCTCCCAGGCCTCTACCCACATGTTGCTGGGAATCTTCATTCGGGCGCTCAGCTCACCCTTAATTACCACATTGCCCTTTTCATCAACCACTTCCTCTTCGATGTAATCCCGTGGGGAATACCACCTCACAAAATCCTCCAGGCAACAACCAGGATTAGCTGCCTGGAATGAAGAGAGAAAAAATCCCATGTAAATGTGATTACATGGGTAGCAGGGCGTTGGGTTTTAGTGGACAGAGGCTAGGAGCCAAGAACTTGGGGAATTCAGTTCACAATCACCTAATTGTACCTTAGGAACAGAAACTGGGGGGCTGAGGAAAAGGATAACCAAGGAGTATATAAAGTTAATTTTTGATGGAATCTTGATTTTTTAGTCTTGAGTATAAGATGATGTGCAAATTTACCTAACTGCTACAGTCTAACACATCAGATATTCACAGATTATGAAAGGGTACTAGAGTTTTATCAACTGGTTTTTATCTTCAACTTTATTTTGAAACTGTTTTGGGGGCCGGCGGGGGGAGCGAATTAAACCTTCAGAAAAGCCTTAAAATTCATTGAAGACAAACAAGAGGGGTAATTTCATAAAGGGAAAAGCAGTCTCAGAATTCTTCAAGTAATGTTACCTTAAAAGACTCCATATCCGAGAGCAAGCAGGCGCTCTGCATGCGGGCCCGAAGGTGAGCGCCTTCTGCCGACGTKCCGAGCTTCGCCAGCACCTCAGACTGCTCTTCCAGCAAATCTTCAGTCATGGGGGCTGGCTCCTGCAACGTGGAAAGAGAAAAGCTGACAAATAATCCCTCCTTAGCCTTGCTCAGGAAGAAATGGCTGAAAGCACCTAAAAATTCATTTTTACTAAAAGGAAATTCGATCCCTGTACACATACGTATTTATAAAATCAAGAGAAAGGTATTGTCTTCAGTACATATACAGAGCTGAGTGCAATCAACACAGTGTTTTGTTGAAGCACAGAGCCACATAATTGAATTCTCATGACAAACTACTTCCCTGTAGTGAACCTTGATCTTATTTAGAACTAAACGTATTTGAGTTGCAAAAATGAACACTCAAAACCATTTTCAGAAAATACCTCGGCAACCTACATGCAGCTTCTTTATGTCTGTCCTGCAGTACAGGTTAGATAACTACATAATTTTTGATTATGTAAATCAAATCCTCAAATATAATACACAGCATGTGCGAACTTCGGTTTAAAAAGCTTAATCGATTTTAAAAAGAAAATGAGGTCATAACCCAAAAAGATTTAGCAAATTTAAGAATAAATACAGCTATAACTACAAACCAGATACAGCTTCACAATCATAAGAATGATTCATATCACATGACAGTCCTGTTGCACATCCTGTCCAGCTCCTGCTATCTAACCTGGGTTATTGGAATGTAGAGCGGCTCTCCTGGATGAAGCAACGTCAACTTTCCGTGCGGATGTAGACGACCTTCTGGTTTTATATTTACAGACTCTTTGCTGGCTTCTTTTGCTCCTCCTTTCTTTCCATTTTCCTGCCCATTTCCTTTCAGATCTTCTGTGTCACTCAGACATTCAAAAAATTCTTCTTCACTGTCACTCCACGATTCCCAGGACTTGCCAACTTCTTTATCAGTCTCCTTTGGATTTTCTCTAGAGTGGTCAGCTCCTTTTCCAGCATCACCAGAAGAAGCCCCAGGGGAACGATCAGATGCGTTCCCTCTTCTCCCTTCATCCCTTGCCTTCTTTCTTTCAATGCAGCAATTTAACATCTAATAAGTTAACGGGAAAAAAATTAATTACTTTCTAATGGAAAGTCACAGAGAAATGTGAAGTTATCAAAAAAGTTGCTAACAATTCTAAAAGATAGTAACTTCACTGAACTTGTTGCTACAACAAAACTTTTTCCCCTAAGAAGGGAAGCTCAGAATAATACAGACATAATTAAGCCTACAACAGTAAAATATTTAGCTAATATTGCTTTATTTTTGACTATTTCCTTATGAGAAAAATCATTCTCAAATTGGGAGATACTTACTTGAAGTTTTTGATGCAGTAAACAGCATCTCAGATCCGGAGGTCCACTAGCTAATCTAACAAAACATAGAAGTGCAAATATTTAAAATTACAAAATTAAATCCTCYACACTTGCATACATTGTCTTAAATAATATCAAATCCAAAAAAGGGTCAAATATCCAGATTAAAAACAGCCCCCACTCCCCAGCATTTCAACTAGGCAGCTGGTCTCAGCAGACAAGACRGTGCCTGACCAGCCCAGAAGTTAGGCTACATTTACATCCTAGGTGTCATCTCTGAAGTTCAGGGATTCACGTTAGCACAAAACAGACATTTTGTTTTGTGCAGACTGACTTGCATTGCCTGGTCAGTCTCCATTTGGATGTTAAAGGGTAATACTTTCAGGCAGCAAGTTAAGCATCTTTGACTTTTTTTAAAAAAAAAAAAAAAAACCACCATCATGACAGAAGCCAAGTGTTGCTATAAGCTTCCTTTTCCTCATTCACATAACTGAGTGCTCTCAATCGAGCTTCCTCTAGACATCTCAAAAGTTTTCCAAGGAGGGCCCAGATGCTTTTCCCCCACTGCCAATTTTTTCTTGTCTTTAAGGAAGGAGGGCAATAAAAATAGAGGATGGCATATGCAAGCAGCAAATTGGGAGTAATTTTCAAAGTCATAGCGGAAGTCACAGCCATCTGCTACTGATGCAAAGRACATTTTCAGTGACGAAACAGCAGCAACTCTTACCCTGGAATAAGGTAGTTGTTCTCCCATCTATAGCGCATTTCTAACACAAATTCTTGCCAGAGATGTGCCACTCCTTTTACTCCTCCATGGTAGAAGTTTATCATACAAAGACACAGAGCTAGTTTGTACGTCAGACTATCGGAAGGGGCAGATTTAAACTGACTGAAGAGATTCTACATGAGAAATAACAGAAAGCAGGAAATACAGATAAAAACGACATGTTTAAAGTTTCTRTCCCAAAAGCATGAGACCTGTGTCCTGCTTGTCAGTACAAGTGAATAAATAAAAGTCTTCACTCGCTAAGTATAAACCACCAAAAAAGATGGTCTTAGAAAAGGCAAGCGGAAACCCAACAATATTCATTCACTTTTTCAACCTGRGAGTTCCAGAAACAGAAGTTTTTCTCTCCAACAGTTCTCTGTTATAAAACATAAGGGAACTCAGCAAAGCCTGTATGAACATATACTCAAAATCATCCTTCCCCCATCTCTGCCACCAACCCACCCCAYCAGTAAAACTTACATAATCTTCATTCTCTGGAGGGGGATTGTTTCCTGTTGAAATGCTAGTTCTGCTTTCAGATCCATCTGTGAGTTTGTCAGCAGCATCAGGAAATAAAAACTTAAAGAAACAAAKAAACAAAAAATTCTCTCAGTATCTTCTGCTCATTCTCTCCTCCACAAAGATATAATTTGTTATAGACTATCCAGCACTATAACTAAAATAGAGTTCATAATTCATTTTAAATTTATATTGTATAGACTTCCAACAACCTAGGCTATATTTCATGATGCTGATCAATGCAATTAAAATAACAACAGCTATTTATTCTGCATCAAACTTATACCACTACGCTGCAGTGTTAGATAATGAAATACGAAAAAAGCATTAGTGAAAGCATAAAATACACTTTGTGAGAGCTCACCAGGAGAATAGCATTCAGAACTTCATTATTTAAAGGCGATTCATCTACACCTCTGTGCTTGCGAATTTTTTTCTTTGCACTATGAACCATATTTGTAACAGATAATTTATGGATTGGGACTGGTGCAGGCTCTGTAAGCTTCGACAAAGCATGGGTAATATCAGCAACATCTATAAAATAAAAAAAAAAAAAAGATGCCTTTTAAAAAAGAAGTTTGGCACTCATATTGAGACTATTTTATATTGACTTTTAGCACCTTCTTAACCTAAACCATCCCACTGTGCCACCATGTTCCATACCTGACAGCCATTAGAGACAAACTTAAATGAATAATTGCCAGCAGCCTGGAAAACTACATTTAAGTTTTAAGAAAATGAGAACTAATGAGAGCTAGAGATCTTTTATGTCAAGCACAAGAGTAACACATACCCTACTTTATCTAACACATTGTAAAGCTAATTAACTAGCRACCTCTTTGCTCTTGAGCTCCTTCAAAGATAACCAAAGAAAATATACCAATGCAGACCTCATTTGGAAGGAGAAAATAAAAGAGAAAAAAACACAGATGAAGGGAAAAAAAAAAAATCAGTAGGAAACAAGAAAATGGGTCACCAGGAAAAGAAAAGCTAAAGAAATGGACAGACACATCAAAGAGATGTCAGTTAATATCTATATTGCTTGGATAAAATTTGACCAGTTGGCCAGATAGTTTAGGGTTTAGCTTTATTATACTTTTCTTCCTTATCTACTGTGAATAAAATAATCACTTAAAAATGGAGACAAGAACAGAACAGATTACTCTTAAAACAAGCAGTTAAAATATGGACAATATAGTACTTCAAAAAGCAGAAAGAAAGCGCAAAAAATACAAAAATATGGGAAACAGACAAGAAAACACATTTGCACAAAACCAACTAAATACAATACATGCCAAATTTCACTTTCCAGTAGGTAACAAATACAACAATATCTTCCTATGGGCCTTTGAGAGCCAAGATATGCATAGAATTCATGAGAAATGGTACRATGTGGCACTGACTGCTCCAGAAAATGCATAGGACTAATAGTTACAGAATAAATATCAAACTGAAGTCAGGAATACAAGGCAGTAGAGACCGGGAAGGTAAAATAATCGTGGAACAAATGACAGCAAACAAGATTTGAGTTTTACCTTTTCCTTCTTCTTCAAATGCAGATCTTCCAAGTATCTCCTCAGTTGACTCCTTCCGCCGACAAAGCTTGTAGAACTCCGTAAGAAAATCACCTAAGAAAAATCAAGTTTCAAATAATTGCTCAATTAAAAAAAAAGATAACTCACAAAATGATTACTGAGGGATAGCAGTACCAGTTTATCTTAAAATAATATGATAAATAATAAAATAAAATGATAAATAATAAAATAATATGATAAATAATATGATAATTTTTTAAACATCCTAAACCAAATAATTACAGTTCAGGAAAATGCACGGCTAGACAGCTATAGGCCACCCCTCCAGAGCACAGTTCTTCATCCAGCTTCATCCATTTCTTCCCTCACAGTGAGTTGAAAGTCACCTGTACGTTGTGATTTCTTCATTTTGAGGCCCTTTCCCCAAGAAACTAGCAGGCCAGGACYGAGAATAGTTCAGTCCTCCTCACCTACAGATTTTCCTTGACTGACATAGATAGATGGAAATAAGGAAGGTTCCACTAAGGAACTGGATATGGATAGAAAGGATCGTATAAGCTTTTAGGAAATACAGTTCTTTATAGAACCAGGCAAAATAAATAGTTATTATCTGGAATCTAGTAAAGTAAGTAGATACACAGATGCAATACAATCAGTAACAACATGGCTGCAAATACTGCACTCTTGAAAAAGAGACCCAAAATTTAGTCCACCCAGACAAAGAAACGAGGGGAGTCAGGACAGAAAGGTTATGAGGAATCAGCTATTCACATGCTGGCAGCTAAAGAGCTGTAAGAGAAGCTAAGGAATTCTGATATCTTACCCAATAGACACTGAGGATTATCTGCTTTTCTGACTCGCACGGACCACTGGGGTGCTTGAATAGGATCAAGGTCCCTTAAAAATAAAACACAARGTTTCACACTGATGGTGACAGGAAGAAAGAGATGAATATCAAGTTCTTAATAACTGGGAAGTCATAGACAGGCTAGGAAAGTTATAACATGGATCATATTACAGAGAAAAGCATGACAGTGTTCTGAAAAGAAAGCAAGAATGTTTCAAGTGCACACACACACACACACACAACATGAGTAAGAAACATACAAGAACTCAAAATTAAATTTTAAGTAAAACTGTTCTCAATTATTGTTAATACTGCAAACTCATTTCCACATTAATATGAAAATAACTACTTTTTTTCCTTTTTTTTTTTTAATTAAGGAAAAATACTGTTCATCACCTTTACGAGGCTTTGCAAAAAGAATGGATGACACTCTGGGAGTGAATTCTTTTTACTTTCCACAGTCTACTTTTTGGTATCTTCTTTCTCAAGAAACACACAATACACAGAACTTTTCAGTTTAGCCTGAGATTATTCTCRAAGACTGTGGGGCCTGTTGCATGTTGAGATCATGATACGGTAACAAACATGAAAAAGCATTTCAAAAGCTGCTGTTTTCCCGATTAGACATTCTCCCAAATGACAAAATAGACTTTAAGTATTTACGATTCAGATAAAATACTTACGAATAAACATCGTTCTCAACGATTATACCTTCTGCTAGGTGAGGCCACGTGGTAGCTAAATGGAGCTCACTGAAACAAGCAAGATTTAAACCTTTGATTGATACTACAAAGTGCTCTCGCCAGCAAAGGTCAGATTCTGAAAGGCACACATGACAGTTCATACTTAATTCCCAATATATATTTTGCAGCTAAGTCCAAYGAACCACTGAATCAAACTCTAAGGTGTCAAAAACACATAGTTAACTAGACAATCTTAATTTCAAACTCAAAATCTGGCAAAAGTGTATGAAGTACGGTGCCTTTCTTCAGAGCGGAGTTTTAGGGGGTTTTATATTTTGGTTTTTCTTTGCAGGACAGGGAAGTTTAGAGAGGGATGACCAAAATGTATTTTTCCAACAAAAAATGTGAAGAAATGTGCATGTTTTCAATGAGTTTCTTTTTGTTACATTCTACTGATAATTCTATAGCATGGCACCCAGTACTGTACTAAACTTTACTGGTATCCAGCATTCACAACGTTTTTGTAACTTCTCTCCAAAAAAGGAGAAATTGCACACAGTATTTTAGGTAACTAAGTATATTGGAAAGAACAAACTTTCATAAATTGGCTACAGTATTAAAACACGTCAAACTGCATTAAGCAATCCCTGCATTTGTCAAGTGGTGAGGAAATTTCCAGAAGAGAACACAAGAGGGATCTGAATAATTCAGTTTAGAGATCTTCTCAATGTCATAGTTAAAAAGAGAGCAAACACAATCCCTCAGGAAAGGCACATGGTTTTTAAAGTTTATCTCCAGTTAAGGCACATTTCTGCATAACCTTACCTAATAACCACAGGCAGTAGGTAATAGCCTTACCTAATAACCATAAGCAAAGGCTTATATACCTTCATATACTTAAAGGTATATAAGCCCTCTATTAGAGGAGTTACAAAATTCAGTTTTCTGAACTCTTACCTAATGGGATCCTCACAGGCACCAAACGGTAACTTCCCAAATTCAAGGCCTCCAACTTCTCCTCCAACCAGAGCATCTATGTCTGAAGAAAGATCAACACATTTTCCATACAGTATTTAAGGGATACATTAAGATACTAGTTGAATCTCAACTTCACACCAAAAAGATTGTASTGCATAAGCTGATCCAGGAACAGCTAAAGTGACAGCGTTTTGCAAAAGCAATTCTAGCACATAGCCAAAGTAACTGTTATATAAATTATCTATCCTATCTAAATTCTCTGTTCTTTTTTGAAAAAAGCTCACTGAATGTTTTAAGGTAAAATCCCAGGCTAGCTATTCACATAAAACTACAACTGAACACAGCAATAGTTGTAAACAAGATGACCATCTCTACTTTCTGCCATACATGAAGCTCCTAACTCCTCTAACCAGAATCTTCAACTAACTAATCTCTACCTAAACTGTTCAAGTAGTTTGAACGGGTAGCACAACTCGTTCATTTTAAATGAAGGAGTCTGGCTTAGCAAAGAACTATATCAAGATCGAGAAAAATACAGGAAATATTACGCCCTGCTACTGCAATCATGCAAACAATCTGCAGGAAAAAAATAAGAATAAAAAGCTGTAAAATTGGTCTCCCAAATTCTTTAAATAAACCTCATCTACCTACAAGGAGAAATAACCAGCTGCAAAAGCGCTGATTTTTGTTCTCCYGAAGAGCAGGATGTATTAAATACTTTCATGTATTAAGGTTCTTCAGCATTCCTTAGATGTAAAACACACACTATCAACTTCTCAGAGCACATTATTTTGATTAGTCTAATACTTTTTTCTTTATAACAAATGCAAKTCAAATAATTAGGTACCCAGACCAATGTCATACAGAATCTATCCTTCTAAGCATGACCTAAATACCTTTATCTTATTAGATAAACCTACTACGAAGCCAAGAATAGAACCCRGGCATTTTATAACTCTATCCTATGCATGAGGTACCAAGTCACTAATAAAAGAATATGTTAAGAYAGAACAACATTTATCATTTTCCTACAGAATTGTTTAGCTTTGAAACACAAGCTTATAACTGATTCCCTAATGCTGCCTCTGTATGAACAGGCCTGTTAAATCCTTACATGCAAAGATGAATGAGTGGTACCAGCAGACAAGTATGCAAGAGCTCATTGTGGGATTATCAAGTGGGCATATTAACCTAGTTCTTTATAAATAGCACCATCACTGTATAAACTTACTAAGTCTGCTGTAATTACTTCAATTTTATGACTTTCTTTTTCTGCCTAGATTGCCATAAAAGGCTACTAAAATAGAAAACTTGAACATCTATTTTCCTTTCACAAACAAGCAAAATAATCAAACACTTTGCTTATTTAGGACTGTGTAAACTAAAAAATAATAATAAAAAAATCCAAATTTTCACTTAAAGTGAGGCCCACATAATTATTTCTCATTTCCCCAATGTCAATGCAGAAACAGTGAAGTATTAAGAATCAGTTATTTCACTGAAGTAACTGACTACTAGCGCAAAGCACTATGACCTAACAAAACCTGAATCTGCCAWGGTTTTCCTGTGGAGCATAGGGCAGAATTCCTTATGGACAGCCATCCATTTCTCTTGGAGCAGAAACTACAGCTTTAYAGCTATCACTACCTATACATCACCTTTCAACTTTAACAGCAAAGTATATTGGTAGATATAGTCCTAACCAAATCACCCATCACAACACCATCACAGACATGGTTAAAGAACAGCTTTCAAGTTACTGACTTATCACAGGGAGTGGAAAGGCACTCAGCTCTAACCAGAGCCTTCTGTAGCAAAGCAGACTTAACAGTTTTACTCTTCTGGCAAGATACATAACCGTATCCTTTAGCATCCACTGCTGACCTCAAACCAAGTTTTTCTGAGGACACAAATTTCCTACCTGGTGGCTGTTGGGGCCAGAAATACTGTTGCCAGTCTTGAAGCACGTACGTAAGCCGAATAGCCATGCTAACAGGAGGCAGTGGGGTCAATGGACACCCCTTGAAAACAAACAATACAGGAAAAATTGCAATTTCAAGAGTACACCCAGCAGAACAATCTTAGGGCTTGTACAGATCTTAGGTTGTTTTAGAACTGGTTTCTCAAAACTGCCATATGCTTGGAATGATCACAAAGGCCCTGTTAGTTCAGCAAGACACCTGCATGTAAAATTAACCATTCCACTAAAGTTCATGAGATATTTACATATTCTGTAAGTTATAGACAACTCTAAGTCAAAATCCTTAATGCAAACCTAACATTTCATTATTTTCATTTTTTGATGAGATTACTGATTATCAATACTAGTCAGATATACCACTCTAAAAACAAAGTTTAGATTTCAATTGTTGTTCTTCATTCTTAAAATGTATCTGACTATAGATAAATTTATCTATAAAGCTATATATAGCTTTATATATATATATACACACACACATATACAGGGGATATATATTATACACACACACAGGGGAGCTATAAAGTACCAAAATAAAAATCCATGGTCCTTCCCCGTTGTTAAGCACCAAAAAAGTTTGTTTCTCGGAGATAAGAAGACAAGGTTACAGGCAGGCTAACACATTCTTTCACATGCTGACAGAAAATAGAGGAGGAGCAAGAATGTGATCAAACTGCATAATAAAACCCATGTTGATATTTGCTATTTACTGTCAGTTAAAAAATGTCACTATCTAGAAAGTCTTTGCTGATATCCACAGTGTTCAGTCTCATTCTTAAAAAAAGTCTTTATAAGAAGTCTAAGAAAAAAGTAATAAAATAATTATTCTTAATATTAATTATATGCATTTGGATGCACTTACAATCTTGGATTTGAAGACATCTAGTAAACCTGATAAATGAGTATACTGATTTGGCACTTTACGAAGATGAACCATTTCAAAGTCAGTTCGCACTCCTGGACCTTGGCATTCTCCAACATACATTCGTCGCCACTTATGATGTATTTGCACAAATAGTGGTACCTGACTGTAAAATATAAATATTTCAGACTGAAGTGCTATGTCCTGCAGTCATTAAAACTACTTCAATATTTTAATGTAATTTCTTATCTGTTAACACATGCAGAAAAATATTGCCATAATGCAGAATTTTTCATTCAATGGGATGCTGCTTAAAATATTTAAGATCAATTACAAGAGCTACTGTTAATTCCACCGTTAAATGACATGCATAACAAATAGTCATGCCATAAACAAAGCCTTATCAATAACTTCAGTCATTTGATTTTCAAACAAAACATGTCTATAGGAAATTTGGAAACTCATGGTTACCACATGTAAAGTAGTATTCATCTGTTTTTACTAGTCATTTTCGCATACTAGTTATTCCAAGAGGTTATAATAGCTTTTAAAAAACTTTGAGGCTTTTATGTAACATGTACATGTAAACATGTAACATGTTTATATGTTTATAAACAACCAAATCAATGTTTTTAAAGTTTCCACAGGAAGATTTTTAATAGAAAATGTTATTTTTTAATAATAAGATTATGCTGCATATAGAACAACTTTACAGGGACAAATATTTTCCTGAATACTGAATATTTTCCTCACAATAATTTGTATAACCATTCTGGACAAAAAAAGGGTTGTGCTTTCACTTACCAGCCAGTGTTTCCCAAAGCAATGGAAACTGAACTCAGCAGCAGGTTGCATTTAGATTCACTAAGAACAGCTTCATTATTTGCTGGAGCAATAACCACAAATTCACGTAAGCCATACCTTAAGAGAACAAGACAGCCATGCAGACATAAGGTCAGCTAACATACTGCTCTAACTTGTATCCCAAGTCCAGTCTCTGTGTCATGCCATATAGCTTCCAAACTAGACAAAGCTTATTCCTTCATTGACTGCCTGCATTCAAATGTGTAGATATATCCYAGCAGTTTTTCAGAATGACTATCAAAACTTGCGATATGCTTGTGAGAGAGCACTTTTTTTTCCCTGTAATACATTTTAAAAGTACCATTATGGGGGAAAATGATTAAAATTCTTTTTAGTATAAGCAGAAAATATTACGTCTGATGSTAATTGACAACTTTAAATATGAACATTTCTCAGCTTCATTTTTAATCCTGTCATTATATAACCTACACTTTAGTCAATGTCTCCAACGTGATTTTATTTAAGCTTTAACTCTTGATGCAAAAATAACAAATAAAAATACACAAGTGATTATGCCAGTGTGGAAGATATTTCATTTTTTCAAAAGCTAGCTAACCTTTCTCAGATTAAGAAAGACAACAGGTTTACATACCATCTTACCAGGCAGTGCGCTCTGGGAGGAAAGTCATTGTTCACAGACAGCAAGTCCTGCATAGGCAGAGGAAGGGCATCTGTGGGAGAAAAAATAAAAAGATACATAAGAGCATCAGGTTCCATTCAAAAGATTTGAAGTTTTTCATAAATGAAAGAAAAGCATGATGTTTTAACTACCTTTATCTTCTTTTAGAAGATTTCAAATAAGCTTTGTAGGGTATTTCATTATATATTCTAATATATATGTTATAATGTAATATATAGGTTATAATGAAATCTTTTTCAAGTATTCTTGTTAATTGAATTTTCCTCTCAGTTTACTTTCCTAGCATTAAAAGCAGCAGAGCAAAACATAAAAATATATATGATATAAAAAAACAACTAGAAAGTAACTGCCAGCTGCTASTACTCCCAGTCTTCCCTTCACTTATCCTCAAAGATCTACCCAAATCTGTGATACTCAGAACATCATTCTTCATCCTTCTGGAAGCTATCAAACACCAGGTCAGCAGGAGAAGGAATGTAGCAGACTTAAAGATATGGGTAATCTTTTTATGTTTCCTTTCAAAATSGACAGTTCCACTAATATGCAACCAAGAATGCAAAAGTGCTCATAGGTTACTTGTGCTATCCGAAGATTTGAGATGCATATCAATTTTATACGATATGAATTACAAGAACTTGCCAGAACTCTGCAAATGAGTTGTTTTCTATTTTTCCAAAATAAGACTAAAATTATACGAACTAATGAAGCAAATAATTTTTATACTTTGAGTCAACTATAGTAGAAATAATTTAACTAAACAGGAGATACAGATTCTTAATGTTTTAAAAAGCATGAAATGCACTTTAAAGACAGCACTCTGAGAACCTCTAAACATTCCTATGAGAACAAAATTAATGTAAATTCAACACTCCAAATTATCTTTTGTCATATTATCGTAAAACTTATTACATATTTCAGACGTAAGAGATGTAACAGCTACCTTCTACCAATTCTTCTTTCGCATCTTTTTCACTGGGTCCTTGTGCAAGATAGTGATGGGTAACTGAGAACTTGAAGTCTGCAAACGAGATTTCATCTGATTTCTCTTCCCATGCTCCTGTGGTATAAACACCCTGTATAAATGCATAGAAAAGAAAATATGATCTGATGGCAGACATTTAGGTTAACTTTCATGAGCTTTACAAAACCTGCTGCCCATATATGTTCCATAACATTTAGCCATCTTCTTCTACTCCTAAGGTTTTGTTCTAAATAGCTAGACATGGTTTAATTTAAAGACACTCTCCAAACACTTCATAGAGTTAGCTAAATGAAGAAATCCAGTGTTTCAAATAAGCTTGTTCATTTCAAGGAGCTGCATCTTTCCTACAAGTCTTCACAGMTACATGGCAATCAAGAGAATTCAAAAAGTGATCTAGAAAACAAGCCATATGAGAATACACTAACAGCTCAGGTTGAAAACTATTTCACTAGATAAGCTCTGTATCCTGATTAAAATTAAGGATCACTACCTACAGAAACGTAACAGTCATGCATGTCACCCTGTGTCACATGCTCTAGTGCCCTTGCTTGAGCAGAGAGGTTGGACCAGGTGATCTCTAGAGATCCCTTCCAACGTCAACCGTTCTGTGACTATGTGTTTATGATTCAATCCAGAGCAGCTAAATTTATTTGCCCTGGTACACGAAGAGCTCGGTAMTTACCCACGTGGCATATATGACCGAAGGAACACTACCAAGACTCTAATTAGGCTTTGAAAAACAGAAAAAAAAATCCCTCTGATCTATGAAATGTATTAAAGCAAAGGCAACACTATGCAAATCTCAGCCATCGGCACAGGAGGCATGGCAAAGGGACAGGAAGGAAGAAATTCCCCGAGAATGTTTACAGATTCAAAACTGGGAGGAAAAAAAAAAAGCCTGGACCCTAAATAAAGATGCTGCTTTACCAGTAAAAGTGTCAGTACCAGGAAAAGTATCAGGTTGACAGACAATCCATGAATAATCAACTTACGGGTGTTGTGGGGTTTTTTTTTTTGCCTTTTTTTTTTTTTTCTGGCCAAATGTTCACTTTTACCAGTGAAATTCCCCCAAAAGCTAATCATTTTCTACCACACCTAAGAAAATATCAGTTCAAAGTATATGTATAACATGTATTATCAGTTTATCAGTTACTAATTCTAATTTGAAAATAAATTTCTGAAGCAGTAACTGACCTTTTCTAGAGGTTTGCCTGAAGAAATCCCAATAAGTTTCCAGTCATTCAATACTTCTTCTATTCTTGAAATAAATCTAGTTAGGGGAAAACGCATTAATAACTGCAAAAMCATTAAGCCTATATTATAATTCAGCTCCCTTAAAGAAGTATGTTGTCCTACTATGGAATCCCTCCCCAAAAGTAAGTGTTGCATAGTTTATTTTTAGCTTTTAAAATTCCTTCACAAAGAAATCACTTGTAACAGGACCTGCAATTCCTGTCACTAGTCTCCCGGTACTATAATTCGGGAGGGCTAAAAACACACCTTATAGCAAACTAACCAACAACAAGCAGTTTGCACAGCAGTGTTCCAGCTCCGTAGCTGGATAGTTTCCATTTAAGCGAAGACACTTAAAGCAATATTCACTAACACAAATAAAAGGCCCCGGGTAGSTGGCAGAGCACAGTCTAAGGACTGGGCAACTCTGGGGCAACTCTGATGCGACAGAAATGTTACATTTTCCTTTTTTTATCTGTTACATGATGTTTCTGTGCAAATAGCAAAGGCCTGTCTGAAGCACAAAAGCACAACCGGAAGCAGAAAGCCTCCCAAACACTTAAAAGCAGTGGCCAAAAGAGCCACRTCCTTACACAAACAAGGCTGCACGTCTGTGCTCATATTTCAGGCGCTTMTTAATGACTACTATGAGTAAGCTTTGAGTAATACAGGATCTCTAATTGTTTGTGTGGGGGGGTTCTGTTTGTTTTTTCTTCTGGTTTTGCAGCACACTGATTTTAGCAAAACAGGCCCYGACTCTCTGCAGAGAAGGGCAAACCAAATACAGAGTTACAACCCAAATGCCACRCAAGAAACAGCAGCGCTTTCAAGCTTGCAGCCTCCACCTCCTTCTGTCACGGGCATCACCCCAGGAAAGGGCGCATTAAAAATAAATATTCACATATATAGAATATAGGCGCTTTCTTAGATATTCTTGGGTCTGCTCGGCTATAACTTGAGATGCTTACGGGACCCCCGGAGCGGCCGCTGGGGGCGGCCGTTGGGGGCGCCACCAACCCCCGCCCCGCACCACGAGCCCCCCCCGCCCCGCGGCGCCGCCGGAGCCCGGGGCTGCGGGCGGCACCTACCTCTCCCACTCGGAGGCGGTGGTGAAGTCCGTGATCTCGAACACCTCGGACTCGGGCTGCGGGGAGAGAGCGGCAGAGGCCGTGAACGGGGCAGGCCGAGGCCGTGCTCAGGAGGAGGCAGAGAGGGAGAAAGAAGATGGAGAAAGAAGATGGAGAAGAAGAAGGAGAAGGGGGGGGGAAACACTCACTTCGCTGTCCGCCGCCATCTTGCGCCGCCGCGCGCGGGGCGGGGCAGGGCGGGAGGGCGGTGCGGCGCCCGGCCCGGCCCGGCCCGGCCCGGCCCGCCATGGCGGCCGCCACCTCGCGGCCGTTGGGCGCCGGCACAGCCCGCGGGCGCCGCCCGAGGGGGCGAGAGCGAAAACGGCCCTCGGTGGAGCCCGATTCCAGACCTTGAGCCTTCCTCCTGCCCCATACGTCTAGCCGATTCCCCACCCCAACACACACCTCCAAAAAAATATATATATATATATATAATATATATGAGGTTCATCAAAGCTGCTATCAAGCTACCTGAAAGCATATAAATCTCACTGAGAAGTTATTGGTAAGGCGGAGTGAGTGTTTAGAAGAATGAGGAGACTTAATGCACCAGAGAAAGCGATAGRAATAGAGTACTGAAAGTGAATAAATAAATAAAATAAACAGGAGGGAGGCGGGCCGAGCTTTGGCGGCTGGGAGCCCTTCCCTCTRCTTTGGCGCCGATCTGCTCGAGCAAAATGCCCCTTGGGCGAGTTGCCTTGGTGACATGGTGTAAACGAAAGGGCCTCCTGGCAGCCGCGGCCTGCAGGGCTCTGCAGGGGCAGGAACGGCGCCCTCGGCCCTCAGAAAACACAGGGAAAATCCAGCCCAGGCGCCAGGATCCCCCACATGGATGTGTTGTTGTGCAGTGAGGGAAGACAGCTTTGCCCTAGAAACGCTCCTTCCTACAGGGAGGTTCCCAAGGGCTGGCTCCCTCGGGGCTGATGTGCGGCTTTCACGCCTCTCTGCTGAAGCTCCAGGTAAGAGGCTGCTTATATTTTGTTCTACAGAAGCTTTTCRGCTATTATTATGGACTTTTATATAATCAGAGAAAATAAAAAGGCAAAGTTTGGAGAAGTCCGGTGGCTCGTGTGACTCCAGAAGGCCAATTTAGTGGATAAACACTGTAATGGTTTATATAGCATTTAGTATAGGGAGGAGAGAGGGAGACTGGTGGCTTTTACTGCTTCCTTTGCACAATTCATCGTGTGACCTTGGACAGAACAGTCACCTTCTCTTGCCCATTTTCTCCTCGGTGGACTAAGAAGCACAGTTACACAGAATCAAAGTACATTCCTCAGTTGAAAAGTGCCATATAAAAGAGTTATAACATCTTTAATTGGATCTAGGGAAAATGAATAAGTCTCCTGGGAAAGCTGCATGCTTTCAAGTCATTACATTCTTTGTCTTGCTAGTGGAATCAGAAGCAAAAGCTTGGCTCTTTTCCTGAATAGCAGTATCAAATGGTAAAATGCTCTTAGTTCTGAACAAAGCCACATAAGCCTCTCATTTCCATGGGCTGTGTAATGAGGTGGTTCCCTAAAGACAAACAGCTACATTGAATACTACAGTTGGAAATGTCCCAATACGATATTGAATGGTATTACTGATAGTTTTTCCTTTTATTCCTTTTAGTTTGCTGTTTTATGATTTCTTCTGTTTTAATTTCCTGGAAGCAACTTCTTCACATGGTTGGTTGTTGACATTGCTGTTGGTACCTTTCTTAAAAAGTCCTGTTATATTGAAATGGCAAAATAAGATGCAGCTAATAAACATTATTCTTAATTATACTTCTGCCTGAATGTAGAAATCCTGTAAAAGAATAATTCTGAATATGCAGCTAGTTGTTTGTGCATGAGTTAATCTCTACATGCAGACTCAAGGTTGTACAACTGAACTCTACAAAATATCAAGCCATTATCTGTAAATCCTGAGGGAAATCTCCTTTAAGTCTCTCATATACACAGGCACATGAGAGAGCTCATATATCCTTATAGAGGCCAGGTGAAACATAGTCCTGCTCTTCATTTCCCTGAGCTACCACCATGTGTCTTTTTTTTTTTCCCATGGTTGACACTATTTGAGGATGGGGCATATGATGTTAAATTTAATTTTATTATCTCAGTCAAGTACTTCTTAAATGTTACTGTAGTCTTACTTACAATCCTGAAAAAGAAATATAACTATTGGTTTGTGCACATGTAGAAATCAATTAATGAAGCATTTTTTTGCAGATTTGAGGACCTTAACACATTGAAGAACAGTATGTCTGACAACCAGCAAAATAAGAACAGAAGCAAAGAAGGTAGCTTAACCCAAGTTTATTACATATGAGGTGTAATACAGAGAATCTGAAAATAGGCAATTTTAACTTGAAATCAAACTATCAAAATTGAACCTATAAAAATCAAACAACCACCAGAAAACTTTGGAATTACACTCAGGGTTAATTTTAACCTTTGAGTAGTTGTGAAATTTGTTTTGATTTTAGTAACTTTTTCTAAAATTTCTGCAAGTATTTTTCTTATATTTCTGTTGTACAGAAATAGGGGTCACAGGTGGATTTTTTTTTAACTTCATTTTTATATATTGATTTAATATACATAGAKATCAACCAAGAGTTTTGATTTATGCATGCATGTCTAGAAGTTATGGCATACATATGCATCTTAGTTTTGTGAGATGGTCATAACATTTTTGTGATAGCTACATCATATGTATCTTTATAATAATACTTTAATAGCTGAAAATAAGTGCATTTGACTTCTACTACTGGTCAGTAATTAAATTGCTTTTATGGTAGTAATAATTATATACTGTTGCAGGTTGTAGAATTTTTGTGGCTCTTCAAAAGGTAGATAAAATTATGAAAAAAATGCATCAACCATACAAAGCACTGGAAAAGAACAAGTAAGTAGAATTAATATTTATTTTAAAGCTAGGCATCCAAAGTGGATGCAAAGCAGGAATTAGTCGAGTGAGATGAAATTTCCTTAGTTTTCTATGTTATATAAAACTATATGTGTCATATGGTGTTTATTCCATCCCAGTATTACTTACTGATCATTGCTGGAAACAGGATATTGTACTAGATGAACAAATTATTTGGTAAAATATGAAAAATCTTGTGGTCTTTGCCTCATGTTTGACTCATGTTGACTCAGCTGAAAACAGACAATTGTCTTGCAGATGCCTTGAGGACAATTTAGAGTGTATCTTTTTCTACTTCTTTTCAATTGAATTTTTGTTCTTCAGAAGCTAGGTAGCAGTTGGCCCACAGAAACACACCTGGCCCTCACAGCAGCTATTCTATTCTGTTAGGCAGTCCATACCATACTTTATAAATACCAAAGGGGCATCTCATATTCACAGCTGTTCTAACAGATATTACCCACGGTTCACAGAAACTTTATGCTGGAAACAATAATTCAGAACGGGGAATGTAGGCAATGTATTTTGTTTTGTCCAGTGTTTTTTGTCATTAATTTTCACTTGTGGTCAATCCCTCAATCCCCAGCAGTGCAGTTAGATGCTGCTAGAKAGCCCTAGCTTATCAAATAGATTGGAAGAAAAAAAATCAGCATTTTACATTTACATTTTACTGATTTTACAGGCCTGTTTTTCATATTTTTTCCCATTGATATGATGGTTAAATTGAGTAGCCTCCTTGCACTGGTTTTTATACCGTATTTTTTTCCCTTTTAGTCAAATAACACCAATGTCCACACTGTGGCCAGAAAAACAAGTGACCAATGAAAAGGAGTTAGCATTGCAGATGCGACAGCGCACATTACCCTTTTTCCTGAAGAAAGAAGAGAAACTAAGACATGGCTTTGACTTCAGTTTTCTGCTACAGGCTTCGTATCCAGAACACACCATTTTAGAATCACATATGGATTTATATGCATTTCAGACAATACAAGCACAAATACAACCAAGTAAGGTCAATTCTAGAAGTCACAACTTTTAAATAGTTATGTATTACTGTTAAGTAGAGACACCAGAGCCTCTGAAGTAACTTTTCTTTACATTTTAAATTCTCTTTATGTATAATTACTTCACATGCAGTAGWGTTCAACCACATAAAAAAGGGACTTCACCATTACCATTAGCCAGTACAGTGAAACTCCAGACCCACAAAATATATACTGAAATTCTGATTAACTGGAGTGGAACAAGGGTGTTATTTCCACTTTTCACTTTATTCTTTTCTCTTTCCTTTCTCCTTTGCTTTATCTTTTCACTTTTTTCCTCATACAGGCAAAATAAATTAGCCATGAGTGAAAGCCAGTTTATTAGAATCAAGGTATTTTTAATTATTACTGTGTTCTGTTAAAAAATAAGTAATTATTAAGCATGGCACTCAAATTTTGACTTACGACTTTATAGCCTAGTCATGAAACCACAAGTCATAGGACTCAGTCCTCAGAACCCTACTTTCTGAAATTAAATTATGGATGAAAATGTAGTCTGTTAAGTGTATTTATCTAACATTTCACTTGTTTTGATTTTTAAGGGTTAAATTTAACAGCGCTAAAAAACAGAAGTAGGAGAACTGAGGTAAGATGGTACTATGTATAAACCTAAGCACTAAATTAAAAGTATTAGATGCCTTCAAAACTTTAAAAAAATATAGAAGAACCATATATAGCATCCTCTGGTTGCTTTTCAGCTTTGCAGATGAATATCAGATATATTTTTGCATATATTTATATCAGCAAACCTTCATATGTATATCAGCAAATTTGTCAGGTGTTACTTTAAGGAGTGGGGAGTTGGTAATTTATAAAGTCATAGAGTCTTATAAAGTGTAAGTTTATAAACTGTTTTCAGGTTTGCACATCCTGTATGTTAGGTGTCTAGTTTAGATATATTGAAAAAACATTGAGTYGTAACTGAAAACTGAAGCTAGATAGAATATGAAAAAACTAATCTAAACTAATCTAAAACATAGAAAACATCTAATTGATATTAGATGTTTGCTGAAACTTATTGTGTTAGCAAATAAAAAATAAGCTATTATAAATTATTAAACATATTTCACAAGAAACTTTGCAATACTTATAAGTTGGATTCCAWGACAAACATTTTTTTTGCATTTACTTCTGCCCTTTCAATTATACTAGCAATTTTGCATGACTCACTACTCGCACCCAGTCAGCCCTAAAGTTAGAAAAAGTCAAACATATTGTACTCAGAGAAAAAGAGATTCTGGTGTTAGTCACTAGTAGGAAGGACTTGCGTTACTGAATCATCTGTGTATTGTAGCAGAACTTTTACAGAATGCACATAGGATTCACAGCAAAAAAGCAAKGACTTAGAAATGATATTGTGAGTTCTGATAAATTTCATTAAAGGGCTTTGGTGAGAAAGAAAAAAAAATCAACATGAGGGTAATGCTTAAGAAAAATAATTTGTGTGACCTCAATATGATTTAATACAATTTTATTTCCCATGTTAGGATCTGCTGATTTTTAGGGGTATAAATTTGGATTAACTGAGCATCCAGATTAAAGCCATGTAGATRAGACAAAGTTGTCTGGATTGTACATTTCAAAATATTCCTCACTGTTCTTCCTGGCACATTCAAACCTCAGTTTGCCTTGGGGTACAAACACAAATGTCCTGCAGATTGCAAATTGATCTTGAGTATGGATGTGCAAATGAATATTCAGACATAGGACAGTGTAATTTCTTAGGACAGTGTAATTTTCAGTATATTCTTTTGGCTTATATTATTTCCTATAAATGAAGAATACAAAATTATTTTTACCATAGTCATCTGCATAATCACAATGAAGTATTCAAATTCTCAAATCTTCTATTTCAGAAATATATGATACCTTTCAACGAATAGGAAGGGAAGGAAGAAGGGAGGAATAATAAAAAAGCATCCGAAAATGACTTCTCAGTTAATGCTATATAAAAACTTTCCTTTGGATAATATTCCATTTAACTTTATAAATAAAGTGTAGTGAAGATTGTGCTTGCTGCCAACAAACAACTTCTTGAGCAAGATCTGTGACCCACCTGGTGTGGCTGATGGGATTTAATAAGTGGGCATATCAGGAATCCGTATGCCATATTTGTAGTAATATCTTTTAAAACCTCTTAATATTCTAAAATAATTTCTCAATAGATACATTGGTTTTCTATTATAATATCATTTTTGCTTTCTAAAAATGGCTTGCCTTCAATCTAATTTAATAGGGAATATAATTACTAGTGTCAGAACACCCTTGGAAGTGATTTGAAACATCAGTGTAAGAATGGCTCTCTCATTCACTGAAAGTGCCCACCAAAAAAGAAATTTTGATACATGAAATCACTGACCAGGCTTTGAATTCCTATAGCAAACATGCAGAAATCATTTAACAAACTCAGAAGTATTAAGGGATGAGATGTATAACAAATGTATGTGTGTAGAAAGCTTGTTATTATTGTATCATAAGCAGTGATTTGCTTCATAGGAAGAAACCCTCTTTCCCCACTACTGAATAATTAGAAAGAATTGTGCATATGAGAAAAAAATGCGTCTTTTTTCGGGGTGTTACTGTTGTGCTTCACAGTAGGTTAACTGTGGGAAAGCATTTAAGAATAGTTTTGTTTTGTTTTCCTACTTGATATTAGATTTTTATATGTGTATGCTATGTAGCAAGTTACTAATATTTTCACAGAAATTACAGTTTCATCTGCCACCAGTGGATTTTCCACCAGTAAGGACAATGCATCTTGTTCCTCTAGAAGGCTTCAACAACAGAAATATTTTGAATATTGTGCATTCTATTCCTCTGCCTATAAATGCAACTCCTAAATTTTATCAGTATCAGTTACATAATCTATTGCACAATCAAAAGTCATCAGACCTAACCAGCGTTAGTATTGCTGATAACTTTACCCCAAGAAATTCCTTTGACATGGGCAACTGTTGTGAATATCCTCAAGACAAGAAAGAAAAATATGGAAAAAAAATAAAATTGAAGCAAGTTGATATAACCACTAATACTGAAAAGAATGACCTGGTGAGATACCAGCTTTCAGTTACTTGTAAGAACATAGATATTGTGACACAAGACAAGTTTGGAGATGATAATTACCCCTACTTGACATTGGGTGACACTCAGATAAACTGTGAAGTATTTACAGCCTGTATATATCCTGTATCAAACAATGCAGACACCTTAAGAGATGGGAATAATGAAAAACTCATAGAGGGCTCACTTAGATCTGGTGTAAAAGGAGATACGACACGTATAATACTGGATTCCAGGCCAGATGGAGATTCTGAGAGCATGAACTTTGTGCTTGACAGTCATGATTTCGATTATTCCTATACAAATGCAGGGACAGATGCTTGTCATGTTTTAGAAAATCAGTCTGTAACTGAAATAATTCCCAGAGTAGAGGTGCAAAATCCCCCTGGAAAACAAACAGAAAATATCATTTGTCTCTTAGAAACAGAAAAAGAAAAAAATTCAGAAGTAACTTCAGCAAAAGACAGAGGTAAACATGTACCTCTTGTCCATGTTACACTTGCTGAACAAGAACCAGCAAGGGCCCCTCACATTGCTAAACAACCTCCCCCAAAAAGGAGTGTCATCCGAAGTCTGCCTCCTCATGCTAGCCAGAGCTTCAACATTCTTGCTCGCCAAGAACACGACAGAAGTAAAATAAAGATAAATAGAAATAAATATTCATCTAAGTCTAAACCAAGGAGCAACATATCCGAACACTTAATTGTTTCTGATGAGAGTTCCACCAAATGTAGCACATCCAAGGTGAGTGTCAAGGGTCAGATCTTGCCATCTTTAGAACAGCCACACATGGAATCTGGGACTTCTCTGAAGTGTCAAAAAAAGCTCCCTCCAGTAGACAAATACCATGCAGCCCAGAGAGCACAGAAGTCTGCAAAGCAAGGTTTCCCCTGCAGCTGCAGAAATGCAGTTATTTTAAAGAAATCTGCCATTCCTCTTTCTCTACCACGTGCACAATCTGTTTCAGGTTTTGTAGATCTGAAATACAGTGATATGTTCAGGAAAATAAATTCAAATGACAAAGGCCCGGGAATTTATGAGATGTTTGGAACTCCTGTCTATGCCCATGTGCGTGAACTTGATCAACATGAGAACACATTTGGTAGAGATGTTTGTTCTGCTCCACCTAGGAGATGCACTGCTAACACCTGCAAATCTACCTGCAGTAAAGGTAGAGAGAGCAGCCGTGTAAGAAATGCTCAAAAGGCAACGTATTCTAAGCCAAAAAAGACCATTCCTGACTCTAAAAGAAAGCAGAAAGGCTTAATTCCAAAAGGCCAAAAAATGGAGCTGGGTGATAGCAACATGACACATGAGAGTGTATTGATTTCTAGTCCACATTGTCCAATAGAGATTTCAGAGAGCATAGCACCATCTCATGAGGACAAAACCCTTCAACCTCCAATTTTAGAGGAGCTTTCTCAATCATCTGAAGAAAATAAATGTTTTTCAAATTCAAACTTACCAACTATTAAAGAAGTCTCTTTGGAGCAGTCTCTAGACATTCAGGATGTATCCGTCAGTCAAATATTTGCTACCTGTAGTCAGAATCTTCCTCGGTCTGATGATGAAGACTCAGAAGTTGTTGCTGTGAATAATTTATCAACAACAGAGCAGAACTTGTGTGTCCCCCAGTGCAGAGTGGATATAGATAGCTGCAGAGGCCTGGAATCAAAGCAGTCCTCCTGCAAGACTATAAATAAATGTGAAGCATTGCCCTTTTCAAAGAGACCAGAGCATCAATCCCCCTTAAATCAAAGTTGGAGCCACACACCTCAAAACAGCAATTTGCCAGATGAATTGAAGCAGTCGTCAGTGATTCAGACAACAAATGTTGCAAGCCCCGTTTTCCAGACAAGTCAAAACATTCCCTGCTGGGCAAATAATAAGGACCTGACCGATGACTTGTTTTATTGTCTGGCAGCAGAATTACTAGTGCTTGATGAAAAAGACATCAGCTCTTCAAAAGAAAAAAATACAGGTCCAAAAGTGCAAAATACACATCCTAAAGAACAAGGAAGCCGGGTGAATGGAGATAAAGAGACTGTAAACTGTGCTCTAGAGAAGGTAATTCTTTGTACCTTGCTACTTCTTCTGAGTGATCCTATAGCACAAGTTTGGATGAATGATGAGTCTAAATGAAGAAAAGCGTGGGTGATTAGGTAGTGGTAATAAATACTATATGATCATTAATGATCAAGCCTCTTTTTTCCTGTCCCAGCTACCCACTGAGTATCCCTAGTATCCATGCATGTCAGAGGCCTTCTGTCAGGACACTCAGCCATAGGGTGCCTATCTACCAATACTACTGCTGCTTGATCCCTTAGCTTTTTATTTTGTAGAAGTGTCATGCCAGAAAAAAAATTCTTCCTTATAATAATTGTATGGCCATATGAGACTTTTACCTTCCTCCCTGCCTTCTCCCCATGCTGACTGTCCTCTTTCAAGCAGAATTACAGTGAAGTCTTTTTGGCATCAAATGAAGAAAGTGGTCTGCTAAACTTTGAAGAATCTACTAAATTATCTGAAAATAGTTGGACTAACAGGGAGCCTATCATGTGGACAAGAGGTGAGGTGCTTGGAAAAGGAGCCTATGGCACGGTAAGTTGAATCTCAATGTGTTTTAAGAGACACATTGATCACTTKGAGCTCTGTCTCACCTTATAACTGACTGTTGTTCTATTCAACAAATAATATTTTGATTATATAAATGAGACCTGAACAAATTCAAAGATACTTAAAAAGCCATAAAATAGAGTAAATATATTTTATGGTTCATGTTGCATTTTAATAGATGTCAATTTCTTTGCAGGTGTACTGTGGTCTGACAAGCCAGGGTCAGTTAATAGCTGTGAAGCAGGTTGTTTTGGATACGTCAGATCAACTGACTACAGAAAAAGAGTATCAGAAGTTGCAAGAGGAGGTGGATCTTTTGAAGACATTGAAGCACATCAACATTGTAACTTACTTAGGAACTTGTCTGGAAGACAGCACTGTCAGCATTTTCATGGAGTTCGTTCCTGGAGGCTCAATTTCTAGCATTATTAATCGTTTCGGTCCTTTGCCAGAAACTGTCCTTTGTAAATATACCAAGCAGATTCTTCAAGGGGTCGCCTACTTGCACAGCAACTGTGTGGTGCACAGGGATATCAAGGGCAACAACGTGATGCTCATGCCCAATGGGGTAGTGAAGCTCATTGACTTCGGCTGCGCCCGGCGTTTGGCTTGGGCTGGCCTCAGCGGCACCCACAGTGACCTCCTGAAGTCGGTGCACGGCACTCCCTACTGGATGGCCCCAGAAGTTATTAGCGAGTCCGGATATGGGAGAAAATCAGACATCTGGAGCGTGGGCTGCACCGTGTTCGAGATGGCCACGGGCAAACCGCCGCTGGCCTCCATGGACAGGATCGCAGCCATGTTCTACATCGGGGCGCACAGAGGGCTGATGCCGCCCCTGCCCGATCGCTTCTCCAGCACCGCCGCGGATTTCGTGCACGTGTGTCTCACCAGGTATGTAGACCCCCATCTGAAAGGGGAAAAAAATCTGATYGTTTGAGTGGTGGAGACTATTGATGGAAGCTTGGTTTACTTCCTATATGGTACCTTTGACTGTGCAGTTCAACTGTTAACATTTACAAATGTTTAAGTTTTTTGACATTTCAGGAAGGCTTTAAAATAGTAGTATGCATATAATAGTTTTGTCATCTACGATGGTAATTGAAGAAAAGTATTGAACAAAAGTCACAGTTTCTGTTTTTCTCGGTCTTATACTCAGCATATAACTTGCCCTATAATTTTCAGGCAGCCACATGGCATCACTGAGTTTTAGACAAAATATTGAGCTAATTTCAGTTAAAAGCTCTGCAGATGAGCAGAGCTTTAGGTTCTCTTGCTGGTTGAATCCAGCCTGCCTCTCGTGTGTTGTTTTCAGGACATTGTTCTAAAGGAAAGAATCTGTCACATCACTCTGACTTCTGCATACAGATATAAAGCATTTTTAGTAAAGCGTTTATCTTTTAAAAATGCAGGATGCACATGGCATGGCCAGCTTTTTACATCTCATCATGTCCTAGGATAAGTGCTTCCTTCATCCCATCTTTCCCACTAGTTTATTATTTAAGAAATTCAGGTTCTTTGGGCTCTTCCTGTTTCCCTTTTCCCCAAGCTGACATTTGAAAACATCCAAACTCTTTGGTTCTAACATTACTGTAATTCCAAATGAGGTCCTTAAGAAGAATTTGGTTGACTGGAAATGACAGAACAGCTACAGCTATATTAAAAATAATAATAAAGACTCTGGCTCACGCTAGGTCAAAAAGATAATTGTCAATAATTGTCAACTTCCTTAAAGACACTTTTGGTGCACCTGCAGTAGCTGCAATAACTGAATTATGCAGGTTTTAGGAAGAATTTAGAGAAACAAAGATTTCAAAGAAAGATTTCTGTAACAAACTGTTTTACTTTTCTAATTCATAAATGCCAACAGTCTCTTCTCATAAATCCTGTTTAAAAAAAAAAAAAGAAAGAAAAAGAAAGAAAAAAGAAAGCTAAGCTTGCATTCAGACTTTTTGAACAATTACATCACGGGCTTGCATGATCTTGTACTGATTTTTCAAATCCTTAATGCAGAGATCAACATGAACGCCCTTCTGCTCTGCAGTTGCTGGAACATCCCTTTGTGAAAGGAGGAGAGTGACTTTGTCAAAACTGTTGCCAAATGAGTCTGTATTTCCCATATAAACCCTGCTTCCACTTGTCAAAAAATCAAATGGAACTGGACTGAAAGGTGACAGCATAACTTACTGGAGATCAGGTGTGGATGAGATGTCTAGTGTTGGACAGCAGTATGAGAGAACAAACTTTGTATTTCAATGAAATAGAGGCTCATCCAGGTGGGCAGTCCCCGTGTAGAAACTTAAATGTGTTTTCAGAAAAGAAAACAGGACCCTATGTGAGAAAAAAATATAATAGCACCAGTTAATGAAAAAATAAATTGGGAATGCCATTTTCCTTGCTATCAGCAAGAAAACATTGCAGGTGCCAAAGGCCCATGCTGAGAGTACAGTCAACTAAAGCAGGTTGCTCAGGGCTGTGTTCACTTGGGCTTTGAGTATCTCCAAGGATGGAGACTCCACAGCCTCGTTGGGCAACTCAGTCATTCTAACAATAAAACAGGCTTTTTTTTTTCTTTTTCCATTCATTTACATGGAGTTTGTTGCTGTATTTAAATTTGTGCTCAGTGCTTCTTGTCCTGTCACTGCGCACCACAGAGAAATATCTTCTCCAGGCTGAGCAGTGTCAGCCTCTGCTCCTAGGTTGGCTGCTTCAATCCGTTAATCTTCTTCCTGGCTCCTCACTGGACTCACTGTTTGAATCACTAAATCATCTGCAGTCATTTTGGGTATCTTAGAGCTAGCTACTACTAACTCAAAAAACACTTCATATTATGTTCAATATAAAAATAAAAGAAAGAAAAATTTAGGTAATACAAGTATTTAGACTGTCCTTTTTCTGATGAGGTGTCTCCCTCAATACTTTTTATATTCATGACTTCAGAAGATGGAGCCATTGTACAAACCATCAAAACACTGTGAACCTTTGAATGCCTCTGGATTCCAGGAGCGAATGCCCTACAACTGCCAAGGGCAGAGACCTTACCAGCAAAAAATCTTAATTCCTCTTTTTTTAGTTATCTAAATTTCCTAACTAAGTTAGCATTAAGTTAAACATTTTAATTACTTAAAGCACATCCAAGTTTTATTCCACTAGGCTGAATTTAGAAAGTTGTCTGGTGTAAAGCTTAAAAAAAAAAGTGAGATGAAAGCAGTACTTCTGGCAAAATTCTTTATTAGTATTTTCTATAGGTATAATGTCACATGTTAGCAATGACAGAATATTATGGCAGTACAAGAGAAATCCCAACATCACAGTCATTTGCAAAATTAAAATAGTTTGCAGTTCCATTTTGAAGATACTGGATGCTCTTGCCAAAAATCCATGGGAACTTGAGCATCTTCATGTTAGAGTAACTTGCAGAATAAAGGTAGGAGCCCTGACATAASATCTGAAGTGGGATGTACATTATTCTGTGATGTTTATTAATTCTTTTCAGATGGTGTCTCCAAATAAGCTGCAAAGCAAATATGACCTTTTAATTAACATGAAATGATAATGAGATGACAATCATAAATGCGGCGGAGGGGAATGGGAAAGTTCTAGGATGTGCAGTTAACCAAGCAAAAACTCCATAACTTATAACTCCAAGTTATAAAAAACATACATCTTATGCATTTGTGTTTTATAAGCAAAAGTAACATTTTTGTTGGCAAAGTCTGAGAGTTCTCCAATATTAAAATTATTAGTCAATTAGAATTTATAGGTAATGTGCCTTCTAGATAAGAATATTAGAATTAGTCGCCATCTGAAAAGGTTGAAAAGACATTAACCTGGGCATGTTTTGAAATCTGAGAATGCATTTTCACTTTTGTTTAACCATGTTTCAGACCTTCAGAATGAGGATAGCGTTTAGGCCATTTATTTTCAGTCTAAACACACTGGGGATTAGGGGAGGAGTGRTGGCATCCCTGCCCTGTCCTGGGCATAGCTAAAGCAAGAAATATGTTGCCTTAGGGTGCCTTAGGTCTCTAGACTAAGCCCAATATAGCAGAACATACTAAAATCAAGTCTAAGTTTGCATAGTTCTTAATTAAAGGGAATACAGATTTTCACATCAAAATTGAGGTAATTTAGAGGTCTTTAAAACAAGGGAAAAAAAGTGAGAAACCTCTTAAAAGTTATTTTCAATAAAAAGCAATAAAGTTCAGGGAAAAGGGACATGCTTGTACATGTACAGTAAAGATTGCCCTGCTACATATATTGTTTTAAATCAGGCATAGCCTTCATTCCTTCCCTTCTRTAATTATGCTGTGCAGGAGCAAAAGAGAAGGCAAGAACCTGTTACGAAGCACGAGGCCCTGGGTGCTTTGCTCTAACGTGGGGTTTCCTCAGGCTTGGCAGCTTGAAGGCAGTTAACGTCAAAGTAGCTGCCCCTTCCAGTGTTGCAGTGGACACTTCTGTGCAGTAAAGTTCAAAGCCCTGAGCTCTKGTTCACGTCTCAGGAAAAGCCAGGTTTCTTCAGCGTGCCAGCTCAGCTGCTTTTACTAGTCCTACAGATAAAACCAGTTCTACTAAATAAAAATGTCCTTCTTGAAATATCCACATTAGTCCAGAAAACCCCAGCTCTTGAGATGATTTAGGTTCAGAACTAAAGGCAAGTTGTGCAGCTCCACAGAGCTGGGGACACTTTGAGAAACCTCCTGTCAAAACCCTGCTTCCTACAGGGGCAAACCCCCCTGCACTGCTGGGAGGGCCCGGGAGAGCGCCCAGGGAGGGAGGCGCTTCCTGGGGCCAGGCAGCACCTCCTTCCTGCCCTTCCTACCAGGGTTTGGGAGCAGGCTTGGAGATGGGCCCACAGCACCCTGTGCCTTGCATCAGCTCCAAAGAGCCACTTTCACAGGCACTGCCTAAGAACAACATCCTTGAAAAAGTGCAGCTGGCTGTGCAAGACTGGAGAGGAACTTTAAAGGTCATTGGGGGTTGCTGTGTCCCCCGCAGCAYCAGCCCCACTCATCCCTTGCGGCAAGGTAAGAGAACTCCTACTATTACCACTTTTTAAGATTATCACTTTTTTTTGAAGATTATTTGTAAGTGAGGATGTAACCAATTCAGTTTTTAATTAAAAAAAAAAAAAAGTGTTTTTTGGCATAGCTTTAGGCTTTTAACACATTTACCTTCAAAACTCATTACACAATGTGCATTCACAGCCCCGTTCACCACCACCACCACCCCCAGGAACTCTTTGCTTGCTCTAAACCCTTCATGCAAAGCCAAGATCGGGAAMTTTCCCCTTCAGTTTTTCAGAGACCTTGGCCAGGCCCTTGGCCTCCCTTCCCTTTAGCCTCCAGCCACCCCCTCCCCACCAGCCCCCTGCAAGGAGGGGCTGCAGCCTCTGCCCCCGCTCCCGCTGAGGCTGAGCGGCCTCCACCTCTCCTAAGGGGATGTCAGATCCTATAAACTCCTGGCAGCAGCTGCCCACGGCTCAGGCCTCTTCAGCTCCGTGGAAAGGAGACTAACTAACTACACTTAATGGTTACACRACCCAGCCTTTCTTTCAGTCGAGGAGAACCAGCCGGGTTTTGCCAAGAACTGAAAAGGGAGCCTCCCCTTTACAGATAAAACTGGAAAATTAAACATAGGAAATGGGATAATTTTTGCAAAACAGAGATGAGGTAGGGATTTTTATTGAAAATACTTTTTTTTTTTCTTACAAGTCCTTAGAAAAAAAGTTGTTTCTAATTTCACACAAAGGGCTGTACCTCAAAATTTCAACTACACTAATATGAAACGTTTATATTTACAGTTAGCCAAAATGATATACAGAACTGCCATTTTATGCATATACCGGAGTACTAGATCACAGTGACATTACTTCAGCACTTTCACCMTTAGGAACAGAATTAAGATTCAACATATGAAAGAATCTCACTATTCTACAAACTTCTTATCTCACAAAAAGGGAAAAAAATTAGTAGTGTGGTATGCAAGGTCTCTACTTAAGCTTAATCTTAAAAATTACATAATGAATGTATTCAAGTTTATAAAACTAATCAAAGTGATGAACAGAGTAATATTGTTGTCTAGTAGCTTTTTATTGCATTTATTCATTCATTCACTTGTGAAGCTGATGCTGATCCCATTAATTTCCATTCAAACACTTCAACCAGGCTGCAATTCACACCCGTCACTAATTTGCAGTGGGTTTCCATTAGGGAAAATCAGTGGTATTTTGTTGCATATCCTCTCCCACCCGCCCCCCACCATCCCCACATTAGTGTCAGACACAGCAATGACATGGATACAGTTTCACATATTTACAATTACACTGAAAACCAAAAGACAATGGGTTTTGTGGACATCTTTACAGATAACCCAAAAAACACCATTTGCATCTCAAGGTAGCATAGTAACAGTTTGTCCACAAGTTTTCACAATTTCCTAGCATCAAAATAGGAAAAATATCCTCTGAAACAGCACCATAAGATGAAGACCTATGCTCTTTTCCATTTTAATATTAGACAGGCACTAGTTACCATCCAGACACTTTAACTCCAAGTTGTGACAGCAATTGCTATATTTACAGTACAATATATTGCTTATCCAGAGTGGCTGTATAAGATGCATTTCATGGCACAACTATCTGAACAGATTTGCAAAGAAAGTACTGTAGTGCTTTGAAGAAAAATTAAGACCATTTACTGCTATTTCATCTCCTGTCTGCCCTCTAAGTTAGGACAGTTTATAATACAGATTATATTTGTTAAAAATCAGACCTAAGAGTAGAGCCAAGATGAAAAAAGAAACAGACTATAAAAGGATAGAAAACACTCAATAATGCAGGAAAAAGTAACAAAGGTCATTAAGTACATTCTGAATGTAAAAAAATAACCAAGTCGGTATGGATAAGACAGCTTTGGATTTTGTACATGGGCCAGGATTTCTGCTTACACTTAGAAGATGCTATCAGTTTTCCATTTAAATATTCGTTAAATGTAAAAAAGTATTCATAGTCCAAATAAAACTTATTCAAGTAATTACAAGCGTTTGCATTACTGGAAACAGAGTATTACATAGTAATTGATATACCTGTAGTTACATAACATAGCAACTACAAACCAGGTAAATATTGAAGAGTTTTATCATTTAAAGCACGCCGTAGTAACATAACTGAAAGGACTAAGCTTCAGATTGTGTGTCTGAGACTTACAGAATTAC